GGAGAGGAAGAGAGAGAAATTAACAGTCAAGAAATTCACAAACACAGAGCAAGATAAATACACATATGGGAGCCGGGCACTGGTGGCTCATGCTTGCCATCCTAGATACTCAGGAGGCTGAGATCTGAGGATCACGGTTCAAAGCCAGCCCGGGCAGGAAAGTCTGTGAGACTCTTATCTCCAATAAAACCACTAGAAAACCAGAAGTGGCACTGTAGCTCAAGCGGTAGAGCGCCAGCCTTGAGCTGAAGAGTGCAGGAACAGCACCCAAGCCCAGAATTCAAGCTCCACGACAGAAAAAAAAATTAAAATTAAATAAAAAGAGGAATTGGCATCTTTATCATGTTGTATCTCAGGTACCTGGCAATTCTATTTCCTTGGATTTACAAATAGGTTGTGATTTCTGTAAACTAATTTTGCAACTGGCTAACTGTGATTTGTATTTTTAGATCCATACACATGAATATATGTGTGGAGCCAGAGCTCTACTTCTAGCCTTTGGTGGTTTATTAGAGATAAGAGTTTCATGGATTTTCCTGCCTAGGCTGGCTTCGAACCATGAACCTCAGATGTCAGCCTCCTGAGTAGCTACGATTACAGATGTGAACCACTGGCACCAATCTCTCATAGACCAGCCAGGATGTCACATTTGGCTCCAGCTCCTCAAATGGTGCTTTGTGGTGTGTCTTGGCCAGAGTGTGAGCAATCTCTAAAGGATATCTAGAGGGGCTGGCCATGGGTCACAGGGCTGGCTGGTCCCTGAGTGGGGTGGGGAGGCTCCAGGACTCTTGGCTGTGGGGAAGAGGGGCTATGAGGCCTTAATAGTGTGGTCACCCAGCTCATGTCTGTTCAGGGCTTTGACTGATTATCTAGAGATAAAAAAAAATCTGAGTAGCTGCCTCTGGAGGAGGAGGGAAGGCCAATGGGGCTTACTGGGCACTGGCACATGGCGCTGCTATGTCAGGTGTGACCTGGCCATGTGGTCACTGTGGAGAGGAAGAGGCAAGTGGCAGGGGACTTTCAGCCCCCATTCTGTGCGTTCTGTGCTGACTAACATTGCTCGTGTGTATGTATGTGGGGGGGTATGGGGGTGGGTGGGGGTAGGTGTGTGTGTAGGTGTGTGAGTTTTTTAGTGCTGAGGCTTGAACTTAGGGCTTGGGCACTGTCCCTTAGCTTTTTTACTCAAGGCTGGTGCTCTGGTTCTTTGCTGGCTAATTGGAGATAAGAGGGCTGCCTTTGAACCTCCATCCTCAGATCTCAGTAGCCAGGATTATAGGCCTGAGCCACCAGCTCTCAGTAGTTGCTTTTTCTTTTGAAGGGAAGGGTGGACATTTGTTGGGAGAGACAGAGGGTGTGGGCAAAGAAATGTTTTGGCCTCAAACAGAAGGTCTCTTGCTGTGTCTTTGCTGACTGGGGCTTGGGACTGCTGTCTGCCAAGACTTCAGGAAGTGTCTTTGGGTCAGCCTCTGACTCGGCGCCCGAAGAGGACTGGACCCCACTGCAGGATAGGCATGCAGGCTGGACACAGGGACCACGCCCATCGCTGAGGGCAGTTGATTGATGGAAAGACTCTATCTCTCCTGGTTGTGCCATGGCCCAGGGGAGGGGTAAACTTCTGGGGACCTTGGCTTTCCTGTCTGTGGAGCATGGATGGTGCCTGCCTGAGAGGATAGAAGGCATGCCTCAAGTACCATGTGCATGTGCCAGGCTCACCCTGCCTTCTACCTGAGCAGCTAAACCCCCTGAGGGACTCATTTTGCTGATGAAGCAAAGAAAACAGTGTAACTGGCCAGAAACCCCATGTCCAGGGAGCACTTGTGACTTCTGGTGTGTTCATTAGTCTCAGCCAGTCTGGTGAGGAGCACTGAGCTGGAGCCTGTGTTCCCCGTCTGTCTTCCCTTTGCCTGATCCTCCTTTCTCAAGTCTATCCTGGGTACTTGCCACACTCAGGGGTCCAGAACCGAGAGAGAGAGACCAGCTGGAGGCCCAGACCATTCTGGAATTTCCCCGATCTGTCCCCTCTAGCTATCTTCATACCCAGGGCACACCCCCATGGGAATCCCAGATCCCACAAGCCCTCCTCTCGTCTTTCATCTCCCCACCACCCTGGACATCCCCAGCCCTGAGGCACTGAGAAATGCACAGTGCTCCCCAGGGACACAGTAGGAGGCCCCAGGCTGAGTGCACCGTGGCCTGGGCTCTCCCTGCCGTGAGTGCTGGGCTGCTGTCCCTACCTCAGTGCTGGGTCCCTCCTGCCCCTCTCCTCTCTCCTGCCTCGTGGCTCCCTCGGCTCCCTGAGCCATGCCTTTCTGCTCCACCAAGCATCTGAAGAGGAGCCGGCGTCTGCTTAGGGGTAAGTGGGCAGCCAGGGTTCTAGGCAGCTGTACAGATACCAGGCTGGCCCCCAGGGGAGGGGAAGTGGTGTTTATGGCTTCTAGGGGAGTAGAGGAAAGAAATGGAGGGCAGGGGACCCACAGGCAGGTTCAGCCTCGCCCTTGGGACTTCATGCAGATACAAGACATGTCTGTCTCAGCTGGATTATGGCCACACACACACACACACACACACACACACACACAGGTTTCTGTGGCAGCCACTGGGCAGGTGGGGCTGCTGAGCCCCTGGACCAAGACTCGTCTCAATCAAGATGGACTGTTAGTGTTAACTGTGTGCCAGATTTTGGAGACTTAATGCAAATGTATTTCAAACTCAACTTTCTTTTTCTTTCTCTCCCTTTTTTTTTCTTAATGAGTGTGTGTGCTAGTCCTGGAGCCTGAACTCGGGGCCTAGGCATTGTCCCCAAGCTTCTATGCTCAAGGTCATTGCCACTGATCCACTTTTGGCTTTTTGGTGGATAATTGGAGATAAGAATCTCATGAATTTTCTTGCCCAGGACGGCTTTGAATCTCAGACTTTAACCTCCTAAGTAGCTACCATTACAGGCATGAGCCACTGATGCCCAGCTTTTTATTTTTAACTTTTAATGCAGCTATGACAACATTTAAAGTTGTACAAATAGTTCATATTATATTCCCATTTGATTATGCCCTTCACCCCTGGGAATCCTGCTCTTGGGGTCCCAGCCCCCTAGGACATCCCATCACGGTGGCAGTCAGCACTATAGCAGATGACATCACTACTGGTGACATTTTTATTTATTTTTATTCTTTTTTTTTTTGGAGGGGGGGGTCCGGTCGTGGGGCCTGAACTCTGGGCCTGGGCGCTGTCCCTCAGCTCTTCAGTTCAAAGCTAGTGCTCTACCACTTGAGCCACAGTGCCACTTCCGGCTTTTTTCTTTTTGCTTATGTGGTGCTAAGGAATCGAACCCAGGGCCTCAGGCATGCAAGGC